TTGTAAGGAAAATCCATTCATCAATATATCATACGACCCTTGATTTTCAAGGCGCCGGAGCACCATCCTTGTTGTTCGTTCACTCACCCCATATATCACACGACCGTCGCTCCCTGAGCAGCGCGCCGGAGCACCGCCCAAAACCCACCACCAACACCATCACTTAACGGCCTTGTAGTTCAGGCTGTGAACCTAACAGCCGAGACCAGTTCCTCTCTCCGCTACAATCGTTTGATTAGGAAGACAGTTCAAACAGGCGCACCACTTATCCATCGAACACTCATCAACACATCGACGCCCGGTAGACTGTGCTGGCACGCCCGCGCACAACCGCACCGCACCCAAAAGCAGGAAACCGCATGTTAACGCACATCCCCTCGGCCCGGAACTCCAGGCCATGAGATTTGCGCAGCAGACACTTTTGGCAAACCCAGTGGGACACTTGTCAAAAATTTATGGTGGAAACTAGGGCACAGGAAAAGCTAAAAAACAAAGCAGTCGAAATGAATTCTGAGACTCCTGAGTCCGCCTCACCAATCACAACTACCGAGACCGAACGTACGGTCGGGATCTCGGCCGACGTTCCAGTAACGACGGATCGTGCGGCCGATTCCATACAGGAACAAGCAGCAGTGGAGGATTTGATATCCAGGCAGGCTTGCAGGATGGAGACATCCTTCATGGCCACGGTGGACAGATTCACTTCAGAACTGCGAACACTTTTCCAGGAAAAAATGCCGGTGACTTCGCCCACAACGTCCCCCGGAGCCGGGCATAGAAAGTAGCAGCCTTGGCGTCATTTCCCATACCCAAGCGTCAGGCTACGGCCAGCATCCTTTGCCGCCTACCAACAGCTGGGGGCAGGCCCGGCCCACAAGGGCAAACCCCGGGCCAAACCAACCGGACAAACAGCTGGGGGCAATCCCAGCCCACGTGGACGAATTCTGGACCAACCTACTCGGCGGAGACAGCGCGCGGACCGCTCCATGCTTTGGCTGTATCACTAGGGCACGGCAGCTTCATGCATCCTGCAATCCACCCACTCGGCTCAGTTCATACTGCCGCCGTCCACACCCATCCTGGCCCAAGCAACGCGTCCGCTGTATCATCACAACAGTACGGTCAGGGCAATCTCACCGCCTCACCACTTTTGAAGGCGTCGTCGTGTCCGTTGGGCTCTCATCTTCACTATGGGTCGGCCGTTCCAGCAACAACGCATATGCACCTTGGCCAGACCCACGGTGCTCATCTGGCATCAACCAGCTCGGTCATCC